GCATCAAGTTTAAATTATCAGGCAGGAGATCTCTACTGAAAGAGACAGTATTATTTCATATATGTCCCAATTATATTGTGGAACTGGTTGCCACAGAATACTATCAAGGAGAGAAGTATAAATGCATTCAAAAAAACCCATTTGACGATATTAAGGTGGGATAGGTGCCTTGAACTATTATACATGCTTGTCCAGTTATATAAACTGTGGCTTGCAAGGTTCCAAAGTTACTGGCTGTCAAAGCCAGGAAAGAATCACTCTATAACCACTCTGTTTTGTTACTGTTCCCCTACGCAATTTGTGTGTTGTCAGAAATAGGACCCTGGACCTTGTTCTGACCAAGGTGGCTCATATATATATATATATATTTGTGTGTGTGTTTGTATATATATATATACATATATACAGACTTTTATGTGAATATTTTAGAGATGAATACATAAACTTTTTCTTTTAACCTCATCACGGGTGTTCAGAAAGTTGGTGTATTGGCTTTCCTTTTTCTGTCAGCTGATAATGGAGTTTGCAGTGCTGTGATTTTTGAATGTTTGAAATGTGTTTTGGAACTGTGTTAGGTGGAGTGTGCTTTTTTTCAGCATGATTTTAATAGGGAATGGAAATGCTGTGCTTCAAAGGTTTAGAATGATGGTATTTTATGTTCTCTCCTATTCTTTAATTTCAACCTTGTGTGTAAAGTCGAACTTGATGTCTTTGTTTTGTTTTCTTAGGTGGCAGCTTCAGTTTTAGATACAAAAGTTTATTAATTTATTTTCAGATATGAAAGTAAGACGAGTTGGCAGATCAGGAGAGATTGTCCATCATTGTATTATGCCAGCATCTGAACATTTTTTCCTACACAAGGAGGCCAAGATCCATGTTGCATTGTTGTTACTGTAAAGCATTGCACTTCTAATAGTGTTCAACATGTACTACTGGACTTGAAAATTTTAATGAAGAGTCCCATATTCAGGGAGAGGCCATTACTACTTGCAAAGTTTCGTTTTGTGCTCCACTGAGTTATGTTAGGAATAAAAGAAAGACTGCAATTGTTTTAGCCAGATGAAGTATTTGTATTTCTCTAGTTTTAGTGGCATAATCAGTGATTGATCTTTGCTCTTCTTTAGCTGTTGAGGATAAATAGTGTGTGTCTGAATTAACTGCATCTTTAACAGCTTCTGAGGAAGCCTGAGATTGAAGTTTAAATAATTAGTAACATACTGTAGTGGTTTTAAGCCCTGCTGGAAATTAAACACCCTACAGCTGCTTGCTCAACCCTCCTTTTACCTGCCCCAACACCAGCAGAATGGGAAGGAGAATCAAAATGAAGCTTGTTAGCTGAGATAAAAACAGTTTAATAACCTAAAGCAAAGTAAAATACAGGATAATGGTAAATGATAATAATACGACCAAAAAATTGATGTGCAGTGCCAGATGCCATACCCTGATTCCTGAACCCAGATTGGCCATGCTTCTGGGTAACTCCCCCCAGTTTATATCCTGGGCATGACGTTCTGGGGTGTGGAATATTCCTTTGCCAGTTCAATGCACTAGTCCCAGCCATACTCCCTCCAAATTTATTTTGCGTATCTTCTCACTGGCAGAGCATGAGATAAAGAAAGGGCAGTCCTTGACTTTGGATAAACACAACTTAACAAAAATCAAAAATATCAGTGTGTTATCAATACCATTCTTGTTCTGAAGCTGAAACACAGTACTGTATCAGCTACTGTGAAGAAATTAACTCTATCCTGGCTGAAACCAGGACTCATGTTTAATTGATAAAGGCACTGAAACATCTCACTTTGCAGAACCTTTTCAATTAGCAGTGCTTTCCTCTTTCACTTCAATAGGTAAAAGTTGATCCAAGAATAATGTTTCTCTTTGTGGAACAATGGTCTATTATCTCTATGCATGTCCCTTTTGCTGGTTTTATCACCTAAGAGAAGTTAATACTTGTTTGTAAAATTTCCACAAATTTTAGGTTTAAGTTAGTTGTGGTAATAATCAAATGTTGATTAGCTGCCTGTAATATTGATCAGCAGTTCTCAGTTTTACATTTTGATTGAAAAACTCTAAATCAGGACTCTCAATACTGTGATGAAGACTAACCAAAGTGAGTTAGTGAGGTTTATGTTGAAACATATAGAAGATGACTTTTCATCTTGGGAAGCAAATGAGCAGATTTTTCTCTCCACCAGCTGTTCACAAGTCTCACAATCTTTTTTGAGTCTTTTCAGTTTCAATTCCACTTACTTGCCATGTTCTTTCCTCCAGTTGCAGTTTTTGCCTACTTTGTAGGCTCAAGACTCATGATTTTTGTTGTGTTTCTTAACTGAAATAAGTAAAATACTTAGTAAGAAAAATAATAAAAAAAATTGTAGTGGATTTTTTTCCCTTTTCAACATTCAATATTATTAAGGAATTATTAAGGAATTATTGTACATTGTACATATTGTACATTGGGAAAAAAATCTAAGAAAAAACCTAAACAGTAGTTTTAAACAGTAAATTATCATTGTAATTTAGATAGATTTGGCATGCCTAGCTACAGATTACCAGAAAATTGTTCTCACCTGTAAATAGTGATGTTGTATCAAATTGTTAAATTGATCTATAAAAACATTTTCCTGTATTTATTCAGTTTAGATTTAAGTGATTAGAAATCAGTGTTCTTGAGTAGGTCCAGAAGAGCAAGTGGCTAATAAATGCAAATTATTTTACGTGGCCTGATGGTGTCTGGCATTAAATGGTATTCTACATTGATCTGTCAGTAAAGTAAGATTGTGTATAGGAGTGACCTTTACATGCATTCTCTAGTGAAAGCTGGATCTAATCATTTAGTACTATTTGAAAGTAAATTAGCCTGACAAAAGTCTCTAAATGTGTTTAATTTTGGAAAAAGAATCAAAAGTAATTTTTTAATGATATTGGTGGATATTTTAGCTGTTTAAAATTAACTTCTTAGCAGATATGTGAACTAGCTGTATCTTCTAGTGCATATGTTTACTAAATGCTAGTATTTCCTATGTGTACTACATAATATTTTAGTGTATACGTGCTAAAACCTATAGCTAAGTTATACAGTAGTCTGAAATGAAAATTCATAGTGTTTTTTTCCTAATTATAGTGTTGCAAATATTCCATTTGTGGGTAGAAGTCAGTTACACCTTGCCAAGTATTATCTGAGATTCAGTGTTAGCTGACTTTTTACCTAATCTGTTTCACCTTTTAAGGCGTCAATACTGCTATTTCACAAGCAGCAGCATGATCTGACTGTAGCCCCAGTCTTTTCAACAGAACATATTCTTTACCGTATTTTCAATTTTTCCTCAAATTTCCTGTACATTTCCTATGCAAACTCTGAGGCACATGAGATGTTACTTTATTTTGGAGCAAGGGAATAAGGTCTTCAGTGCTATGGCACTTTCATTTACAAATTTGTTTGGTTCAAGTAGCCTCACTGACTTCATTAAAAAAAAAAAGTCTGAAGATGCATGCAGAATTAATTTTTCCTATTATAAGGGCAGATGAGAATATATACCTGTGAGAAATGATGCTCAATTTTAAAATTTCAAAGGTTTATTAAACCTTTACAAAATACAACAGAATGACTGAATAAGGAAAATTGCAGCAGAGCTAAACCACCATGTGCTCGCCCACAAAATGGCTGTTCCACCTTTTTGTAGCCCCGGTGTTCCATCAGGTAACCTTAACCCAAGTCCATCAGTCAGCTCTTCCTCGCCGTTCATGGCTGCAGCTGCTTTCTCGCAGCCCGGCTGCAGCTCAGGTGTTGCCGCCTCCCAGGAACGAGCCTGCCCGCTCCGGCTGCCCCGGCTGCCAGGGCTGCGGGTGACAGCAATACGGGGAAGGGAAAGAGGACTATGGGGAGAACATGTCACAGTGATGTATCTACACATCAATAAAACCTCTCTTAACATACACATAATATTCATCCCTTAATTGTGAGAGCCAAACCATTGCATTGTTCATCTATAACATATCCATATATGAGAAAAAACTAACATAATCCAAATAGCCAATTCCTTCTTAACATAGGGATCATAACCTGATCTGATTTTCTTCTCTGTTGCAGAGAATGTTCCTAGCTATTGGGCAGTTAGGCTGGAATATAGTAGGAGGGAGTGATATGCCTGTTTTGTTCTTTCTTTTCTATGTATTGTGGTAGAAAGAGAAGAACAAGTAGGCATGAGGATTTGTTTTGCCCTCATGGTATTTACATCAGGACAGTTCTTTTGTCTTGAGACAGGCTTGCCAAATCAAGTGTAAAAACTTTAGTTTGTATTGAACAAAAAGTGCTGCTTTACTCTCTTAATGACAAAATATGCTATTAGGTTGCAATTTGCTGAATATCGAAGCTAATTGTTGGTCTGTTCTTATAGTAAAGTAGCCAAGTATTGACCGTGGTACAGGAGGACTCTGAATGAAGCTATTATTTAGAACCAAATTGGATTTCTATATTTTATTAGACCTATCCTATTAAATTTGTAACAGACAAATTTACAGTACTGGTTCTTATGTAGGTTATTGAGTATTTATGTTGAGGTGGCTGATTTGGAACTATCCAGGATTTTTTTTTTTGTATTTTGTAAGAATTTATTATTGCTTCAGGCATATCAGAGGTGAGAAATTACTTGCTCCTTTCCGTCTTGCTCCCTCCAATTGCTCATTTATGGACTTTCTTCCTTTCCTGTAAATTTTTGTCAACAACTGATATTTCAAAGCTTAAGTACACCTTTCACCTCTTTTCTTAATTTTAAACATCCCTTGGATTGGTGTTCTAAAATGTGGTATGTTTTTATGTTTCAAAGGTACATTGTATATTTTGCTTTATTTTTATTTAGTCCTGGGCACTCATGCATTGAAATTATTTTTAAATGGTGAATGTTTTTATGTAAATTTGGTAAATAACTATATAAATACAGGTTTTCTTTCAAAGAATTTTATTGATGCATTAAAATGTGTGTTGTCTTTAATTGCAGGTTGATGCAATTGAGACTGAACCAAAGAGCTTTATCTTTATGAGTGAAGATGCATTAGTAAATCCTGACAAGCTGCTGGTCCTAATTCATGGTAATGGTGTTGTCAGAGCTGGTCAGTGGGCAAGGAGACTCATAATTAATGAAGATCTGGACAGTGGAACACAGATACCGTACATAAAGAGAGCTATTGAGGTAAGTGGAAGTTGAAGGATGCAAGGTGGTGTGGGCCTGCATATGAAGAGCTGTGAACCTGTGATGCTTTAATTTTTTAATCAGTATTCTCTATGTTACTGTGTGATCATTTCATTAGTGATCGGAATACATTTTTGGTTTTTGGAACTTTTGTCTAGTGGAACCAAATTCCTGACTTGCAGTAAAATAAAACTCAGTTGCATGTCATGTTGTGTTGGGACTGCCATGTAGCTTAATATGGCAGATGCTATGACAGGAGCCCTTACCTGGTGATGCATTGCAGCTAGAAGACACCACAGAAATTTGTTACAATTTTGATTGTTTTCTTTCGTATTTCATTGAATTTGTACATATTACTGCTCAATGACAAGTGTAATCTAATGGTAACATGAGCTTTCATGATAACAAGCAATCTTTTTTACTAGGTTTGTACTGAATTTATTAGAGCCACAATCTTTTTCAGATTTGTGCTAAATACCAGTTCATTCTGATTTATTTATCAATATTTGACAATAGAAGACATTCACATTTTGTTGACACTATTTTGTTGTATCTGTTTGAGAAACAATGGACAAATTGTTTTATGATTTTGTCATTGGTACATTGCAGGTGTAATTCATCATGTGCACCCTGCTACCTAAAAGAAACTTCCTGTAGTAAATGTTAGAAGAGCTTATTTAAGACTCATTGTTTTTATTATATTTGCCAAGTTTAGCTAATGTTCTACTCTAAATATCAGTGTTGTCATTGTTACTGTTACGTATTTTGCTAGAAGATTAATTTTTGCGGTCCATGAATAATTTTTGCATCAGTCTTTAAAGAATTCAGGACAAAAAATGACACTTTATTTTCAATAAAGCCAAGAAAGAATACATATAAAAACATTAGGCCATTAAGTTATTTTGGTTTGTTTTCCTATTAAAGCACTAGACTAGACTTCATGAGAGAAAGGAACCTTGTGAAGGTGAGGCTTATCTTTTTCTGACATACAGTTTTTTATAATTCTTAAATCAAGATTCAGAGACAGAACAAAAAGTACCTCAGGATTACTGAGTGCAGTACAGATGTATGGTAGGTCCCATATGGGACTTCTAGTGCTGCTTCCAAAACATTTCTCAAGAAACCCAAATAGCTGTATCTACTTCAATTTTTGTACAGTGCTTACATGTTGGCATTTTCTTTCCTAGAGATACTGCTGTCTTAGGTAAGATAACAGATCCAGTGTTTCAAACTGGGATACTAACTTTATTGTAACAGATAATTTTTAAGGGTTATTTCTAGAAGAGGAGAGTTATATATTTCTTTTTGCTTTTTTGTTATTTTTATTTATTTTGTTCAATGGTTTGTGCCAGTACAACAGAGATCAAACCTCTCTTTTCTCAAATGGTTGTTATACTTAAAACCAGATTATTTATCTCTGCATTTTGAATGCTTCTTAAAAAATCAAGACAAGAAAAAGTCCCAATTGTTGGATGAGAAAATATTTTTACAAAAATGTAATCATTAGAAAACATCAATACATCAAACTGTGTGTTCTTATCTTTGAGCTTTTCGTTAATATGGTTTTTAAATTCATATTTATCTTTAGTTCAGTACTGAACTATCAGCTATTGTAAAACCCACTGTCCCTTTTTGTGCATCTTAAAATTCTGTTAAGTGTACTACATGTTTAGGAGACATACTATTTACAGTGATTTCCTGGATGCAAAATGAAGAATAGATCATATTCAGTTGTGTTAAATCAGATTCAGTTATGTCATTAAATGTGTTGCTGTTTTTTTTGTATCCTGTAATCTCTGTACTGGGAATTGGTTTTGTATCTGGTTACTTAAGGCAATATTTTATAGGAGTTGGACCCCACTGAAAGTATTTAGAATCACTTCGTTATGACTAAAAATAGAATATATATAGATACATGCTGATATCATGACTGCTTCAGATACAGATCATATAAATTACATTTCTAAATGCAGGAAATTATGGTAGACTGACAGTAAGGACCACCATATAATAAAAATAATAGTAAAAATTGCATCCTTTTCTGGTTTTTCTGGTGTTCAGTCCTCTAGTTGATTTAGTCACTTTTGTCACTTACGAAATGAAAATAACTAGCCTAGATGATAAATAGCCTGAATGAAATTTGTGCTAGTCCCTCATGCAACATAATTTGAAGTAGGGAATTATTTTCCTAGATCTTTCTGTGTTTCTTCTAAGGAGAGGTCTCGTTCTTGAAAGAACCCAGCAGACCTTATCAAAGCATCAGTGCTGATGACAAGAGAGCATGGATTTTTTTTCTAGTAGAATTATGTGAATTTGAAGTGGATAATGATATGTAGGATTTGAAAATGCCTGTCATCTGTTGTGACTTTGCAACACATGCAGGCATTGCAGCCAGCTTAAAATATTTGCTGAAGACTAGGTTCTAATTAAAAAAATAAAAATTGAAAATTAAAAAAGTAGTGCTTGAATGTCCTATGTGAAGGAACTAATTCAGAAACACCTGCATTTTAAAAACAAAAACCCACACAAGCAAAATGCAGCCCTCTAAGTAGGCCAAAACCCATAGCTTTACTGGTTTTCTCTCTGCTTCTCAGTTCATTTCTTGGAAAATCTGAAAACTGGAATGCAACAGCTGGGGTTCTTAGTGAGCAGTGGATTGAGCAGGATGAACTGATACTTCTAAACAGAAAGTTAAGGGAAGAGTAGAAACTATTTCTCTCTGATGCAAGACTTTTGAGGAAAAAAGAATTATGACTTCTCAAGCATGTGTGGAACAAGGGAGCAATGTAGAGGATTAAAATTTTGTATTTTAAATTTCTAGTATTTTGGGTCTGCTGCCCCAAAATCTGTAAAGAAAGATTCAAAGAGAAATATCCTGGTGAGAATTCAAGTAGCTAGAAAGACATTTTTCTTTTCATCTGTGCAATTCCTGCAGGTAATGCTTCTTCCATGTTTCATATCAAGCCCTATTGTATAGACTTGATCTTTTGTGCAAGAGGTATTGTGAAGAGTTGACAAGGGTTTATGTGACGAGTTAACATTATTGTGTTAATTTGAAAATTCAAACTTGGTAGTGTAAAAGAGATGCTGAAAGATGAACGAAGAGAACAAATAAGCAACTAGATAGAGAACAGATTGTAGGAAAAGGAGGGGGAGATAATTGTACACAATGTGAAAAACACGTGTAAATACATTAAAATGTGGTAGGACAAAACTCATTTTAGAAAAACAAGTATGAAAAAGAAAAATATGCTAAGAATGTAACAAAAGCTAAATTAAATACTTACTAAAAAGTATATTTAAAACAAAAGAAAATGGCAATGTCCTGTAAATACAGTATGAAAATATTGCATAGATCTGTTGTGTTAAAATTGAAATTTTCTATTGAAACTTTCTCTAGTGGGAAACACTGATTTTTGACAGAAGCAGTTATCTGGTGCATGATAGACTGAAATTCAAGTCCCTCCCCTGGGAATGAGTGGCTATTCCATTTATAATGAGAATTCTGCTCTGAAGATATTCTACTTTTTATAAAAAAGTAAATGTAAATTATATAAATAAAGAAGTGTAGATTAAAAGAGTAATTTTTATTTTTTCTCCTCTATATTTTGCCTAAATGGCCCTTCTCAGATCAGTTATTGTTTAGCCATGCATTCAGTAACTGAAGTAGTGCCATGAAAAGGTAATGAAAGACAGAAGCAAATTCTTCAATTTAATGATGAGGTCATATATTAGGGATGTAAAGAATTAAACATTTATAGTCCTGGTTTCATAATGGTTGTCCCTTGTTCACTGTGTTAGAGTAGGAGATGTTGAAGTTGTACTTAGAGACGAGATTTTTTTCATTGGGGAAACAGAAGCTCAGCTTGCCTTGGCTGGACATTGTGAAGAGTTTGGGAGTACTACTATCTTTGATACCTCTCCTCTAGGGAATAAAGAGGATATCAGCTTACTGCACAAATACAGGGAAATGTTTTCTGAGTCTTTGGAAATTCAGTACATTTGTTACCTAAGATAGCTGTGGTCCCAGGGATGCTAATAAAATTCAACAACAACACAGCAACTGTCACTTATTTATTAAAAAAAAAAAATAAAACTATCAAAGAACTGTTGCTTGATTTCAAATTCAGATATTAAGATACCTTAGATGCATTATTATTTAAAGGAGAATTTATATTTGACAATAGTTGGAAAATAGGCTCTTCAAAGAACCTGGACAAGTTTTTCAGAAGAAATAGAGCAACACCTAAAAATCTGACTTTACATGAATAGAATGCCAAAGGTTTGCATGAGATGAGTATTAGCTGTGGAAATGTGTCTTTAATAACTGGTAAAACATGGTTTTCAGCTTCAGTTGTCTGTTGTGTTTATCTTATTCTTATTTTTTTTTACAATCTCTGTTCTCTTTGGTCAAAATATTGGATTTATTCACTTATATTAATGTCATTCATTTGTACAAAACTGTCAGGTTGGCAATATTTACTAAGAATTGGTGAGGGTTATTACTTTTGTCAGCATGCAGTAATATGTCATTAGTTTTGTAAGGCAGTTGAATGGAACAAAATCATTCAGTGTAACAGCAGTAAATTTTCTCACTATAAATTTTATGTGATTTAGTAGTCTTAAGGATTAGTAGCTATTATGAAAACACATACTATTTTGTCTTTTCTCTTTCCACATCATAAAAATCAGTCAGTTTCAATAGTGGATATTTACATATTGTTGCCCAGAAGTTATGCTTTATTTAAATTACACTAACAAAAATTCTTGCTTACAAACTTGTAAATCTGACTTTTAAGTATAGAATATCTTGTTAGACTAACACACTTTTTTGGTTTGGTCTTATAGTTTATACAGGCTTAGCATAGTATCAATATGCTATTGTGACACTTCCTGGAAAAAAATTAAGAAGCTGACATTTCACTGCAACTATAGTTCTGCCACAGAATACTAATATTCATGTGCCTTTTATGTCTTCTATGTGTGGTGTTGGAGAAGGA